AAAAAAAAAAAAAAGAAAAAAGCATGAATAATATTTTGTGACATTTAAAATCTTTGGAGATTTCCACAGGCAGGTGCCCTCGTGTACACCCTGGCCACACTCAGTGGGTCTACAGCCAGAGAGTTGAGCAGCCACAGCTCAGATCTCATGGCTCTCATGGCCTCTGAGACTCACCACCTCTTACAGGAAGAGTATGCCACCTGCACGCAGGGAAAAGCACTGTGTTAAGGTGGAAAGAGCTCTACAGATATGTCACACTATTTCTGCTGGGACATGTCTGTGCTGACAAGTCAGCTGCATCAACACCGTACCCCACCAGTAAGTCTGCAGTCTCGCCAAGCTCAGGGCACAAGAATGTGTTTTCAGAGGGCACATGCCCACCTCACCACAGCCCATAAACCTGCAAGAAGTCACGGACATTCTGGCAACTTTGGAAAGAAAGTTTGTCTCCCTAGGAAGGTCTGCCTTCCTTCCTTCCTAAACTTCAGATCCCACAGGTCAGAAACTACTTTGGCTGGCAGTCCCAAGGTCAGCTCACCTGGCCACACAGACAAAGGGGCCTACCCAGGTGCCTAACTCCAGCTTAGTGACTTGTGTCACTAAGACTCAAAGCCACCACGCAAGGCAGACACCTGGCCTAGCTGCCCACATCACTTTACCTTCTTTGAAGACAGCAGCAGAGTTTGGACAGGCTCTGGGCCCTGGAAAAGCTGTGTCTCCTCAATGATGTGGACGTCACTCTCGAGGTTGACAGCCTTGTGCAGGACTCCCCGGTCTGCAAGGGCAAAGCTACTGATCAGTGATGCAGCCCCAGAAGGAGAAGCCACGGAAAATGACCACCGAGACAAACACTCTCCCTTCTTCATTCACTAGTCATTTCCTCAATAAGATACTTGGAAAAGATGACAATTTTGCATAAGGAATGAAAAAGAAAAAGCTTGTGGAGAAATAAACAATCACATACACAAGTGTTATGGGCTATTTTAGTTTATGAAAAATAAATAATGTTCCATTCTTGACACCACAATAGCCCTTTGTCAACAAAGTTGCCATTGCAGCATTTGAAACTGCTGCTCAGTTCCACTGGCCCCCGGGGTGTCGTCCAGGAGGTGCCCAGGCAGGCAGGTGAGGCAGGGCACAAGCGAGGTTGGCTGGGAGGCTCTGAGGGCAGGCTGTGGTGTCCTGCCAGCTACCCCACACCCTGGTCCAGAAGGGCTCATTTCAGAGCCCACAAGCTCGGGCAGATGTGCCCACATGGCAAGTCAGGGCACATCTCAAACCCGGCTCCTCAGTAGGGGAGCAGGGCTGGGGTCTTCTGCAGCTATTAGGAAACACAGGGCTGTCACCTCTTCCCAGGCTGACTCTCACACTTGACCCTGCCTGGGTACCACCTACCAGCCCAGCCCAACGCAGCCCCAGGCCAGGACTTGCACTTCTAACAAGCGTTCAGGTGGCCTGGTGGTCACCAAGATCTGAAAGCTGCTTGGTGCGGTGCCTTCTCAGAAGTCCTTTCACGCTGTAAAAAAACTGTTCGGGTCACCTTGAGGGAGACTTCCGATCCACATGCAAAGGATTATTTCACCTTCGTGATTTTTCTAGCAGAAGACACAGACATGCTTTCCCTGTGGAGCCTTCAGAACCCACCTGTGCTGATAAACATGACATCATAGATGGTCCCGTCCAGGGCCTGGGTCCTGTCCACCACGATCTGGGTGTAGTTCACATCTTTTTTGACGAGCTTGGGCCTGTTGTCTATTGGAGTTACCGAGTCGTCCATCAGAGGGTGGTCTTTGACAAATTGCAGCGTTTTGTCTGGTAGGTTCAGAGAGCTGGTGTAGTTGGCCGCCCGCACCTCACGGTCAATACACTACAGGAGCAAAGTCATCCGTGGTGAGCACACAAGGCCCCAGACAACCCACCCCATGCTTCTGCGCACACTTCAGGACTTCTACAAGGTGTGAAATGTGAGAATCACAGAATGGACTTCTGGAAAGGAGGGTAACAGCGAATAATGGAGGTGGCCTTCCCCTGATATCAGAGGACACCACTGTAAAGCATCTCCAGAAGACAGAATTACATCTCATGTTACGTAATCAGCAGAGGAATTTTTAATCTACTTATACATGAAAACCACTTAACCAAGCTTTTGAAACTGAAAAATAGAATGCTTTCTTGTAGCTTTTCCATAAGAAAAGAATGCTAAACATTGCTAAAAACAGTCCCATTATAAATAGAACTAAAGATGAAGCACGTGCAAGGTTCTCTGTCTGTCCTAGCTCTCTGACAGGCGTAAACCAAAGTCCTTGGCCAGAAGCGAACACATTACTTAACAGAATGCACAGAAGGGGCAATGACGTGCTGGGGACAGATGCCCCACAGAGGGAGCCAGCCCTGGGGGAGCTCTGAGGACTGGGACACTCCTGCCTAGGCCACAGCCCCGATGAGGACCAAGCACACTGCCCTGAGAACAGGCACAGACAAGCCTAGAAGCTCACACTAATTACAACACGAAATTCATTGTTTGGGGGAAAAAACAATATGACACCTCTGAACCAGTGGACAGTAGAGCTCATGAGAGTGCCGGGAATTCTGTTTCTCTATAGGAAACTGAAAATGAAACAGACCCAGTTGTATTATGCAATGTTAATTTCGCAAAACAGTCCTTCAGGCAGCAGGGCCTTCTTGCTTGGGCCTATGTAGTAATGGATATTATGTAACATGCAAAAGAGAGCACAGAGAAGGGCAGGCTATGCTCACTGGCTCTTCCAGTCCCTGGCCTGTGAGGCGGGCCCAGCACCTGCACCGAGTTCCCGCTCTGGGCCTTGGAGGGGCAGATTGATCCCAGGCCCGACTCACCGCTCCAGGTCGCGGCGTGGGCACCGGGCCATTATAGCGCACCCACTTGGTGTGGGACTGCTCCACCGTGGCGCTCTGCATGTACTTCCCTTGGGAAAAGACCTCCTCCACCGTGGACAGGTCATAGGCGCACACCGCTGACAGCCCCACATTGTTCCTGGATGGGGGAGGGAGGCATGGTGACTGGCTGGTGGGCAGCCAGAGAGGCAGGGCACGGACCCCAGCTGGGAACTTACAGCTGTGGGGTGAAGAGCCCATAGAACACTGGATCCAGGCCCGGGGCCCTGAGGACAAAGACATCCCGCAGCACATTGAAGACCAGGCCGCTGTCTTGCCGGGAGCAGATCAGTCGGGCCTTCAGGAAGGAGGTCCACTTCTTCTGTAAAGTCCTCAGGCCGCCCTGGTCCCCCTAAAGCCCCAGAGATAAGACAACGGTGTGAGGAGAGAGGACCCCGTGAGCTGGTCCTAAACTTAGGAGCAAGGCACTGCCCGGGCCAGCCAGGACAGAACAATCACCGCTCCCAGCACAACTTCTAAGTCTCAGCTTGGGCCAGAGAATATTCCCAGGTTAAACCACAAAACAAAGGCCTGACGCAGTGGCTCACGCCTGTAATCCTAGCATCTGGGAAGCTGAGGCAGGTGGACTGCTTGAGCTCAGGAATTTGAAACTAGCCTGAGCAAGAGACCCAGCTCCTACTAAAAATAGAAAAACTAGCCAGGCATTGTGGTGGTGTGCTATACTCCCCAGCTACTTGAGCCTGAGGCAAGAAAATCGCTTGAGCCCAAGAATTTGAGGTTGCTGTGAGCTATGACACCACGGCACTCTACCTAGGGTGACACAGTGAGACTCTGTCTCCAAAAAAACCAAAACCCACACAAAACGAAACAGACAAAACCCTTCCCACTGAAAGCTCATTCAATTCCATCTGAAACTGCCATAGCTGCCCTATGCCTGACCCTGTCCCCACAAGTGCAGAGGTAAACCTCTGTGCCACACGTTTCTGTCCTCTGCCCTGGGGCTCATGGGACTTGCTGAACATCTGGCTTATCAAGACCTATAAACAAACGCACTCTGGGCTACATGGGCGGTGGGCAGCCTCCTTTCACTGGACAGCGTCTGGCCCTGCAGCCCACAGCCCTTCATCGCTGAGGGACGAGATCCTCACTTCCTTCCTGCCCAATTTACCTCTAAGAGCTTTCTATCTACTAGACTTTTTACTAAAAAGCCGAGAGACACTTATAAAATTCACAACTCCAAATGTCTGCAGAGAAATGCTAAAACTATGAAATCTGAATATAACAGAATATACATTTGGAGTCTTTACTTATTATGGACACAATGACAATGCCTCCTCCCCATCTCTACTATGTGATCAAAGTGCCTTTTTTTTTTTTTTTGCAGTTTTTGGCCCGGGCTGGGTTTGAACCCACCACCTCCAGCATATGGGGCCGGCGCCCTACTCTTTTGAGCCACAGGAGCTGCCCTCAAAGTGCTTTTTTATAAATGACTTTATTTTCTTCCTTGAGGTTTTACCAAAGAATAATTTCTGGCATGTCTTTGGTCATTCACCTAGTTTGGCTTCTAGGTCTCATGGAGCAGGTGAAAAGTCCTGTCCCCAGGTGGGTGGACAGGGTCTGTTCTCAGATGGCCTCTGCCCAGGAGCTCAAACAGTTGTGGGAAAAGGAAGGAAAAGGAAGGAAAAGGAAGAGCACAGCAGCTGCAGACCTTGGGGGAGGAAAATGTGCTGTGCTGTGCTTCCCTGGCACTGCTCACAGAAACCCCCAGAGACAGGTACCCTGCCAAGGTCACGGCAGGTCTGTCCCTGGCTTCCTGGTGACCACATAGCTACAGGAGCAGAAGAGAGCTTGAGCCCCAGCAGCCAGTGCTGCCCCGAGGGAGCTGCATGCCTGCCAAGTACCTGGCCTGAGAGTACCCATCCCACCTCACCAAGCACCAGCCTGCCCTGCACAGTCGCACTTTGCTGAGATGATCTCCCTGGCAGCAAGAAGAAGAGTGTGACAGCCATGGGTGGAGGGCCAACTGGAGGATCTGGTCAGTGATCCTGGCTAGAGAAGGTTCAGGTAGATGCAAAGCACCCACTCTGTGTGCCATGGCATAAAATCCCTGCTTCAGTGATGTCCTCATGGCGATAAATATGCAAGGAGGGCCATGTGGCAACTGTAGGTCAACACTCTCCATGAGGGATGCGTGTTCACTGGCTCCAAGCTGAGCACCAAGCCTAAACAGCAGCTGCTGTGTCCTGTGGGGTTTCTTGTGGTTTGTGTAAGGCCTGTCCATCTCCTCCCAGAAACTGCCCCCGGGTCACCTTAAGATTTCCTAAGATCCACTCCAAAAGCTATTCTCCTGTGCTGAGCACTGTACCTGCAATTGGCTATTTTAAAGGTATCCTCCCTCCTGCAGTATGTTCTTCAAATTGGGTTTTGACAAACTTGAGTACCAGTTCTCTCTCTTTAACCTTCAGCAACCAGTTAATGTTTCACCCTAAGGTTAAGAGAGCCAGGAGTGGAAATGTCAACTCTGATGAATACATTCCAGGAAAGCTAGCTTTTACCACCTAGGGGAGGCGGGAGGAAGTTGCATCAAAAACCAAATCGCCTAAGAACATCAAGCCAGCGGATCACATGAAGGGGTGCCCAGCATCCCCTCAGTCTCCAAGAGAACACCAGAATCGCCAAGGAAGGCCTGGCACCAGACAGGCCCATGAGCGGCCTCTGTGCCACAAGGGAAAGTGATAGTTCAGAGGAAAGTGAGAAGTGACCCACCTTCTGGGCACACTATCCCCGTGGCAGAGCCGCATGAAAGCCAGGGTGGGATGGCACTCACCTTGCACACCCTCGCTATCCGTGGAAGCAGCACCCTGAACATAAACTCATACTCCACAGACACCTCCGTGAAGAAGAAGTAGACCTTGTCGTCCTCGCCGTCGGTGCTGTCCGAGCTTTTCCGGATCACATCAGCAAAGACAAAGCTAGGCTCTGCAGGGGGATAACACTGATTATCCCTGCACACAGAGCTATAGGGCTGTGTGGCTGCCCATTTCCCTCAGGGGGTCACCAGGCTGGCTAGCATTGCCTCAGGGGCCTGGGAGCTCCCTGCAAGGACACCTGGAGGGTGCATATGGCATACCTTGATCATAAACTCCAGGATCCAGGGACGAGGAGTGCTCTGAGCCCACATGGTGCCTGCCCTGCCCTCCCCTGCCCTCCCCTGCCTCAGAGAGGTGCCCCAGGCCCACCCCGAGAGCCCAGGCTAGACCTTCCAACAAGTACACAGTCTGGGGGCTACAGAGAACCAGACCATATCAGCCTCACGTGTTTGCTGCTTTAAGCAGCATGTGCCCAAATAAACAAGCCACCAGATCTAGGTGCCCTGAGACTCTAGCTCCATGGCAGCCCCACCCTCAGGAATAGCCTGCTGTCCTGAATCTCAGGCCTTGGGATCTGCCCCAGATCCAGAGGCTTAAAAACCAAGGGCTCTGCTGGTTGGCATCCATGAGAAAAGCCCCTGTGAGTAGGCACCAGCCTTTGCACACCGGGGTCACACTCAGATGTGTGCTGTCTGACAGGAAGCAGGTATCCAGCTCCCAGCCACGCAAGTGCTGGCGGCTAGGGACAAAGGAAGGGCCAGCACCTGAATCACACCACACATCACACTGGCAATTAATTACACCACAGGCCATCTGATTGGTTTGAGTTTGCCATTTATCACCAGAATCTCACTTTCATGGAAGTTTTCCAAATTCATTAGGGGGGCTGGGGGAGATAACCCATCTTAAAAGTGTATTGTTAGCAGAGGGGAAAATAAAAACAAGATGCCCCTAGGCTCTGAGCAGTCTCAGAATTGTCCCCACTGCACAGGGGCTGACGCTGGCTAGGGAACCTGCAGGGCTCAGAGACCAAACAGTGAACACCCCGAGAAGAGACACACCTGCCACGTGGCTCTGCTCCTTACCGTTAAGCCATGGGATCGCATACTCCGTTCTCAGAGGACTGTGGGAAGAATTTCGGGAGATGATCGGTTCACTTCCCAAAAAATTATATGATGTTCCAGAATAAAGTTCTCCATCTGCAGCGGCCCAGGAGGAAAGAAGAAAGCAGCCCCTTAAACTACGGCACAAATACCAGGACAAACACCCAACATGTTTTTACTCATAACCCAATTCAGCCAGCAGAGAAAGGGGCAGATGGTCTCCCTGGTCCTGGGGTGCACGCCTGTGCTCCCTGTGTCTCCTGTTGCTTTTACGTGGATATTCTGACATCCACCTTCAGATGTATTCTTGAGTCACCAGGCAATAACTACACACAAACAAGTAACTTCCGCATCCAGGAAAATGCTGATGAACACAGCAGTAAGTGCTCAGGAGGCTGAGGCTGCTCCACACAGAGATGCAAGACCATCGTGGGCCACACGCGGCGTGGGCACAGACCTTCCCTTCAGACGGGAGCATCTGCTCAACATGGTTGGGCCATCCAGAAGACAGGCACCAGCGATGGATAGAAAGTGATGATTTCTGGTGGTGCCTGGCTATACATGTATCTTGTGACCAGCAAACCCAAAAACCTGCGTTAAAGGGTCTGTGCAGGGTCATACCTTCCTTTTGTAAGGACAAGTTATATCAAACAAAACCATGACGACAGTACAGAAAAGCCAAGTCCCGTCTCGGCATGCCCCCAATCCTCAGGGCGACGGAGCTGAGGAGCAGGACTCACCAACCATGATGGACGTGTAGCTATGCGCTGGGTCAAAGGGACACCTTCCTTTGCCATCTTCATTTTTCCCCAGAAATTCAAAGGATGTCAAGTTCTACAATTGAATAAAAAGAAAGTGCACCCTAAAATGGCAGGCTCTCCGTAGGAATAACGTGTCTGTGTACTATTTACTTTACAGATTTGGCATTCCTGGACCACTAAGAGAGCAGATCAAGTGGGTGTCAAGCCCCATGAATCTACCCGTGGAGCTGTGCCTGCTGTCACTCAGCTTGGGTTTGGGTGCCAGTGCCTCGGTGTCCTTGCTTTGATGCCTGGCCAGGTGTCTCCCAAGAGCCTCAGTTTACCAATCCATAAAAGGGAGCTGGCAGTGCTATGGCTCCAGCACAGCAAAGCCGCTGGGACAAGATGTGCTCCATAAGAGATCAGAAGCTCATGTGCAGATCTTACTATCTAGAGAAGAGGAAGCCTTCCAGGCAGTGGGGAGAACCAGGCAATCCAATAAACAGGTAATACACACACACACACACACACAAAGACGAAGGTGCAGAGACCCCACCTCCCTCCTTCCACTAAAACATATTCCAGGTGGATTAATGATCGGAAAATTGAAAATGGAACTGAGGTGCGCCAGAAGCAAGTGTGGGCAAAGCAGTTCAACCTTGAGCTATCTCTTTACCTGACAAGAAAGCCCAAACCCACACGAGCAATAAAAAACACAGAGCCAATTATGGAAAGAACCGGGAAACTCTTGTCCAAGGCACACCATGACAAAGTTAAATGATAAGTGACAAACTGGGAGAAACACCTACAAAATGACAGATGACGTGTTTCTGTCCCTGAGCACACGACAAGCATGTACAAATGAAGGGGAAAGAGCCTCCCAGCAGAAAAGCAGGCAAAACACAGGAAATGGCAGAAGAGGAAACCCATCATAGAGGGAATACCCCTCATGCCATAGAGGAAACCCCCAGCATAGACAGGAGGACAGGACAGAGCAAGCCTGCTGAAGTCCAGGGAGCTCTGGAAAACAAGAGTGCAAGAGTGGGACTGTCACTCCTCATCCAACAGCCTACAGACACTTAGAAGGACAGGCGCTGACCACACCAGGGAGGGGGCACCCACCATCCCTGCCCAAGGAGGCCGGCTGGACGCCTCAGAAGCACAGCAGGAAGGGTGCTGGGCAAGAGGACAGCTACCTCGGACTTAGCAGGCTGGGTCAAACACCACACTGCACAGGTGTCACCTGTGAGGTCACAGAGTATGAAGTGGGTGATAAAAGATCATACCACCTGATATGATTGACTTATCACACCACCTCAAAAGGATGTCTAAGGGCCACTGTGAAAATGCAAACAGCAATGGTTATGAGCCTGGGGAGCTGCTGCACCCTGTCTGAGTATGAATTACACAGGAAAATATCACCTTTCTTAGGAGATGTTTGTGAAGATTTCTGGGAGGCAGAGGTCACAGTTCAGCAAGCACCCACATGCTCACAGACACACGTGAGCACACACATGCCCAGCTGTGTAATCTAGGTTGCTAGTATAGACATGAGTGACTGTCTTTTCTGTAGGTGAGAAAGTTTTCATTAAAAGTATTAAGGAAAATTACAATCCCTTTTCCTTTCCAGCTGACATGTCTATAAGTTTAAATGACAGTGCTTTAAGTTTCTTATTAACTAGAGTTCATTCAGAAAAATCCTTTGATGTGCAAAATGTTTCCAGCCTGACTACATTTTTTTTTTTTTGCACTGAAGCAAAAAGAAATATCTGTCTTTGAGGGTCCCCAGAAGCACTCTCACCCCAGATCAGCTTTCACTGCCAGGATCCAGTGATCCTGCAACCTCACCCCAAACTGTGTGCAAGACCCAGGTTTCCTAAGGAGGTCTCTGGTGAGTGCTTACTTTGTCTTACCATTTATCTCTGACTCGAGGTTGGAAATTTTGTTTTAATTCCAATTATTTTAGGGTTCAAGCAAACTCAGTTTTTCGTTATAGCATATTTTACCAAATAAATAGGGAGACTGTAGATCCCATCACAGTCAGGCCTTCCTCACCTTCTAGAATGTTCCCTTACCACATGTTCTGTCACCAGTGTAACACTAAGTACAGTGTATCACCGTATCACTAAATAAAGAGGTACTTAGTAGAAAACGTGCTTCATTTTCAATCCTCGCATGTACTTACTTAAACTCTACTCTCTCCCTGTTACCAAATTATTCACCAAATTTTCTGGTTAAAAAGAATTTCTTCGAGTAGATGCTGAAATTGAATCTCTCCCTCTAATTGTGATGCGTGGGTAGGGCCCCTCCTGAGGCCCCTCATGGGGAGAGGTGCTGGACAATTCTGGGCAAAGTCAGGGAAGTGACACCTCAAGGGACAGAGGATCAGCACACTTCCCCACAGCCCTTGGAGTGGTCATCCAGGACAGTGGTTCAACAGGCAAGTGCATACCCACAGCCGACACCAAATGCTGCCATCTGGGACCAAGGTGCAGATACACCACCCAGGGCCGAGTCCTGACTTTCCCAGTTGACCCAGATTCCATCACAGTTAGGCCTTCCTCCCTTTCTAGAATGTTCCCCTACCATATGCTCTGTGCTAGTATGGTCACTGGTGCCCTGAACTCTGCCCTAGGCCACACCCTCAGCCTTAGACTGATCACAGCCTTGGACTGATCCTCGCTGCTGATCACAGCTGAGAGAGGCTTTCCAGAGGGGCCACAGCTGCCCTGAGGGACACTCCCTATTCGGCCAGGTGACTACTTTGCACCCACCAGGCACCCTCACTGCTTTAACCACTGATGAGGCTGTGCCCACTGGCCTTACCAGGTGGTCGCAGACCGGCTGGAATGCGTTGGTCCCGCACACGTACAGGGCCGTGGCACTGAGTGGCTGCAGCACGCGGATGTAGTTGAGGCACTCCGTCTGGGAAGAGGAAGAAAGCACAGTCAGCTTGCACCTGCCACCGCCTGAGCCCTCACACTGCTCCGATTCCAGAGCACAGACCCTCCCTCACCGAAAACAGCTCCTCTGCCACCGTGTGTGCGTTCACAGCCCTGCCCTGTCACCTTAAGCTTGTGGGGCTCCTCTCTACATGCCTACTCTGATCTCATGCGGCAGGAGGATCCCCGAGACTCTGAGTCTACCCCAGGCAAACCTGAACCTCAGGCTGGACCACATAATTGAATCTCTGTGGTGTCCACAAGCTGCCCAGGTACCTAACGGGATTTCATTTCAGCCCCTAATAAAGACTCGCCAAAGATGTGGCAACTAAAAAAAGCAACAAGAACTTATCTCAAATCTTACTAGGGACACGCTCTATAAAGGGTGACCAGATTTTAACATTGGTAAGGTGGGACAACATGGCCGAGGGGGGCGGGGGGGGGGCGCGGGGGCAGGGCAGGGCAGGGCCTGACAACAATGTAAACTTTGATAAGCAGTTCTCGATAATTACTTCTCAGCAATTATTTGTTATTATTACAGTTTAACATTATAAAATTAACAAAAATAATATAAAACTCATATTCTGGCGAAATAGCCACATGGCAGCCGAAAACCGTATATTCCCTTCTTGTTCTCCGGCCGTTTCTGCATTCTTTCCAAAAATCGGGACTTTTTTAAAACGCCGCGGGATGCGGGACAAATTGTTGAAAAGCAGGACATCTGGTCATCCTAGCTCTATAGAAAGAAATATACTAGGAGGATAGGAGAGGAAAGAGGAAAATTGCTAAGTTCCCACCTAACTGGTACAGCACAGGATATATATGGCACATCTGGGTGAAAGACTCAAATACAACTCAGACTTTACCTAACAAATGCAAACAATGTAACCTAATCAAAGGTACCCTGGTGGGAGGCAGGGAGGGAGGGAATTTTTCCTCTCACTGGACATAAAGACCACTCACTTTGCTGCTGCCAGGCCTGCTGAAAAGCCCACTGCACAGAAGTCCCTCTACCTTCCAGGAGAGGCCACCAACCTCCCTGCACGAGCAAGTGGGACCAGGGGTTTTCCTCTGACCCCAAGAGAACAAACAGGAGGCACAGAAAGAGGCCTGCAGCCCAGCTCTGCCTCAGAGCTGTGGTCTGAGCTCAGGAAAATTCTCCTTCTGTTATGACCATTTTTTTTTTATTTATTTATTTTTTACTTTGAGGCAGAGTCTCAAGCTGTCGTCCTGGGTAGAGTGCTGTGGCATCATAGCTCACAGCAATTTCAAACTCTTGGGCTCAAGCAATTCTCTTGTCTCAGCCCCCTAAGTAGCTGGGATTACAGGTACCCACCACAACGCCCAGCTATTTTTTTTTGTTGTTATTGCCATTGTTGTTTTAGCTGGCCCAGGCCCAGTTCGAACCCCCCAGCCTCAGTGCATGTGGCCTGTGCCCTACCCACTGAGCTATGGACGCCACCCCATTATGGCTGGTTTTTTTTCTTTTTGAGACAAAGTCTCACTGTGTCTTCCTTGGTAGAGCACTATGGCTTTGCAGCTCACAGCAACCTCAAACTCTTGGACTTAAGTGATTCTCTTGCCTCAGCTTCCCAAGTAGCTGTGACTACAGGCACTCACCACAATGCCCAGCTATTCTTTTGTTGCAGTTGTCATTGCTGTTTAGCTGGCCCAGGCCAGATTTGAACCTACCAGCCTCAGCATATGTGGCCGGTGCCCTACCCACTGAGCTGTGGGCACCAAGCCTGTTATGACCATATTGTTAGAAGAAATTCGATCCCCAACCTCCCCAAACTGGGAGAGATCCTTTCAGCTTTCAGCCTCAATCAGCACAAAGTGCTTGGGCTAATTTAGCCCTAACATGGCACCTGATTATGTCACGTTGCCTGCTTTCCCCTTCACTTCCTGAAGTAGCTTTGAATTTAGAGGCAAACACTTTTGGTGAAAGTGTTTAGCACTTCGCTAAGAAAGTTAAGCAAAAAATTCCTTGAGTTTTTTCTTTTTTTTTTTTTATTGTTTTGAAATTAGCCAACAGCTGCTGCAATTTGTCATGACTCAGCTGTCTCCTCCACTCCCAGGGAAGACTGGGCTCCTGTACTCTGAGAATCTGCCCCACACCAGGGAGGGAAAAGCCAGCTCAGAAAGCAGCAAGGGGAGCCCAGCGCTCCCTGGATGGGCCCCATGCTGAGGTGCTGAAGGGGTGCACGGTGCACATTTGCCCCAAATCCCCACATCCCAGCAACCCCTCCAAGCCTAAAGCCAATCACCACTGGGCATCAAAAAAACTGTTTCCTACAGTCAAAGTTTCAGGACATTTAGATAAATTCAATCCATATAAACTTCAATTTCTCCAATGCCTATCATGTGTGGCACGTGCTATGTGAGACCCAATTCCGACACTCAGGATAGAAGGGATGAGCTTCAACTGTGTCGTAACATAACCAGGCCCACCAGGACACAGAACCCGAACTGAACGCCCCGTCTGCATCTCACAAGTCGTGGCTTTCAGATTAAAATAACTAAGACATACTCACGTGAGACTTTTTTTTTTTTAGTAGTTTAGAAATTACCTGTTTTGATTTCCCCTTTTCTGCACACTTTGCTTGTTTGTCTTCTGAGACCTTCCAATATACCTGTGGGAGGAATGCATCCATTTCAGTGCATGGTCTTTTAAGAGGAACTGTGATAGTATAAAAAAATGCACGGTTTAAAAAGTACAGGAGCTTCTCCGGAGAGGACAAATCCTGAGGCAAAAGAGGTTCAGAGAGCAGACCCCGAGGCCCAGGAGCACTAGGATCCTACCTACTCCTGAAACCAGTGGGGCCTGGACGACAGCTCCCAAATTCCCATTATTCACTACTAAAGAATGGCAAAAATAAAACTATTGCAAGTGAAGAGAATTAAATTATTTGTCAGAAACTTAAACTCTGTGTCATCAGACATCAAAATGGGTTTTTTCCCCCATCCATTCAAAAGTGACTCTGGAGTCCCATTTCTTTACTTTTGTTTTTTTTTTTTTGAGACAGAGTTGCAGGCAGAATAGGGACCGAAGACTCCATTCTTGGCAGGGGAGGGCGTCCCCGGAGAAAGGAAAAATTAAAGAGCTGAAAGAGTCAGTGATACAGGATTCCACCACTCAGGGCTGGACAGGGAGTTCCCCATTCTCTAGGCCCAGAGCTCAGAGGTCAGACCCCCATTTCCAGGCACAAGCAGACTGCTTTCCTGTGATGTTTTTTTTTGAGTGGCTCCACCTTGGGTAAGACCACACACTCTAATCCCTTCACAGGACAAAGACTGTAAAGGACATGATAACTACACTCATTCATTGGTTAATGCACCCATTTCCACCTACCAACTGCCAGCCCAGTGTAATCTTCTAGATCTGATTCCCCTAGAGAAAGAGTCCATGTGGAGACTCCCAGGGGAGTTCTTTGGTTCTTTTCCCTTTCCAGAAGCTCTGGTGCTTCTTACTTTTTCTATATTCCTTTCTAACTTCTAATAAAAGTCCTATCTTACCACTGATCTGTGGTCCATGGGTTCATTCTTCAAATTCCCGAGACCAAAGACCTACTGAAGAGCAAAATTCTGGTATCATCAGAACAAAGAAAAGTCAGCTAGTTTACCTTTAAGCTAGCCATTGCTAAATTTCTTATCTAAACAAGTTTCCGACCTTTCCTGAAACTCTGGCCTATTGGGGATACAGCTTACACCAATACTTTGCTGAGTCTGTGAATACTCTGAGGAAGGAAGGTAATGGCCATAAAAGAGATTATGAGGAGACCCAGAATAGATACACCTTCTAGGTCGGTTCCTGCACAGTAAATAGACAAAGTAGAATCCCATTGTGAAGATTTGCATTTGACTGGGGCAGAGATCAAGGGAATAGCTCAAGCCCTGAGACACGGGCAAGGCTTGACATCCCTATTGATCACAGAGGAAAAGTCCTCTGTGGTGGTGATGAGAGGGAAAAGCCTCTCTCCCACCAATTCCTCAGAGGAGACTGGTGCTAGTGGCATTTTACTCCACGTGAACTAAAGGAGCTTAACACCTCCCTGGGAATCTGTGTGTGTGACTCCAGACAGGAGGCTGCCCCTACACAAGGCCCAAGTTTCAGATGCTCCAAAACTGCTCAAATCCTTAAAGTTAATAATAATAACAACAGGAACTGATAGGCTCACTCAGAGAAGCTGCTGGTGTCTTTGTTCCCTCCCTCAGTTTACCACCTGGGCAGACAGACTTCAATAAAAGCTGTGCTGATGAGGCCACTTGCTGGAGCCCACGAACAGGCAGTGGTCCCCTGAGCTACCACCTTTGAAAATTCTATTCTCGGCTCAGCGCCTGTGGCTCAAGTGGTTAAGGCGCCAGCCACATACACCTAAGGTGGCGGGTTCGAATCCCCAGCCCGGGCCCGCCAAGCAACAATGATGGCTGCAACCAAAAAATGGCCAGGCGTTGTGGCGGGCGCCTGTAGTCCCAGCTACTTGGGAGGCTGAGGCAGGAGGCT